ATAATGAGATTCAAAGACTTTTATCAGCTGATAAAACCCAGCAATGGAGAGGAAAGGGAAGAGAACGGAAGTTTGGTCTAAAATAAATAAMGCAATGCATACCGAAATGCATGCCAGCAAAGCAATGTAGGTTTTTAACTTGCGGATATGCAAGGAACTGTGAAGGGGACTATTGTGAAATTATTGAGAACAACACTGTAAAACCTCTATAATATAATTATGGAATATTTACCATTCAAGGTGCTGAATATGAGGGACTTTCCTTTATGAGCGGCAACTGTGGAGTGAGCATAATGAGAAGTGGTAAGAAGAAATAACCCTTCATATGTCACAGTCATTAGAGAGTTTAAGATTCTCGTTTACGACAAACGTGAAACGTCAGTTGACCATTAAAAAATTCTTTAAAATTAGTGAAAAAGAATTGAAAAAAACTCCAAGTAGTAGATAAACAAAAGAATGTCTTGTCTTGTCGAGAAGGTTTGCAAAAGGTTAAGATGAAAACGTAGTCACATTTGCCATTTGCGGAAAGGAAAAATGGGAATCTTAATCTGCATATTAACATATGGCATGGAAAAAGACCTTTATGATGTCAAACAGCCACACTCAAACTGAATTTTTTTTGGGATCATTTAACAGCTTACCCCATGTAGAATCAATACTGAGAATATGGTCAGTCAGGTGATAGGCACTTTAAGTTTTACTACCAATAATAATAATACCAATTATTTAAGCAGGATAACTAGAATTAAAAGAGTAACTGTTTATCTAAGGCCTAAAACTTTGGTCATTTTACTCTATGTTCATAACTTTGTGATCTGTTTGCAGGTGAAGCCATGGAGAAAGGCTTGAGAGACTGCTGTCGATCAATTAGAATAGGCAAAATACTGATAAAAGTACATGAAGAAAGGCAACAACCAGTGGTAGGAAAATGAATGAGGACTACTGTCATTATACTCTAACGATGAACACTCGAGTTTGTCAACCAATCAGATTACAAATCGAAAGCGATAGAATTGGAGTTACATGCGTTGAAAGTCTATAAAATTTAATGCGCACGCACATATGCCATGGTTTGATCGCATTTTTCTTTGTCAATTGTAACATTTTTCATTTCCCTGAGGATGGGTGAGTAGGCCGAAAGCTCGGATCATAGTTATTAAATCTTTAGTTGATAAAACAAATTATTATGAATGTCTATAAAAGTTATTCAAAGAGATGAATAAACAGATAAGTGAAACTGGAATTCTATTGTTTTCGATTCATAGTCTAATTGGTTGACAAACTCGAGTGTTCACAGTAAGAGTAGAACAACAGTACAAATCTAGACTTCATCATTTTGTGTAAGAACAGTTTCTTTTTTTATTCGTGATTCCAACCAGAGTGTGTTTATTAAATGTCGTCCTTGTCTTTCAGGTCTATTATGCAAAGTTTCCTAAAGATATTGACAAAAGAAAGGTGTTATTAATGTACCCTTTATTAAGTAAGTATGAAATAATATGACCCTCCCCACCCCTCAGAAATTCCATTCCCCTTCTGTGGAGGGAGGTATGGATATTTTATGAAACTACACAATATACCCTCCTCAGACCCTCCCCACCCCTTGGAAATTCCAATCCCCCTCTGTGGGGGAGGTATGGATATTTTCTGTGACTACACAATATACCCTACTCAGGCCCTTATAATGCTGTAATGGCTAGATGTTATTATTTGTTTATTTTTCTTAGACACAGGAGCAACAATAACCACTGCTATCAATGTTTTATTTGAACATGGCGTCCAAGAAAGAAACATTATCATACTTTCGTTATTCTCTACCCCAGAAGGTAAGTAAAAACTTGAGCAAAGTACAATAAGCAGCAACTACCTTGAAACCCTAAACAACATCTGGGCTGATCTAAGTCAGGGCATGGCTGACTCACAGATGGAACCCTGAAACAACCTCTAGGTTTATCTAAGTCATGGCATGGCTAACTCACAGATGGAACCCTGAAACAACCTCTAGGCTGATCTAAGTCAGGGTATCACAGATGGAACCTGAAACAACCTCTAGACTAATCTATATCAGGGCAGGGCTAACTCACAGATGGAACCCTCAAACAACCTTGGGGCTGATGTAAGACAGGGCACCACTATCTCAGAGATTGAATTTGAATTTAGCATGTTAGATTTCACAGACCAACACACTCCTAACCAGAGACCACAGAGGTGTGAGGCAAGTGCCGTACACCACCTTTGATTCCCATGTACTTCCAGCTGATCTGGAAAAAAAGTTAGGCCAATCAGAATCTAGAAAACTTGAAGGTGTCAATTTGCACTTGAAACCATGGATTTCCAGGCCGCAAAATGAAAAAAGTAATATTGCTAATACTCGCAGTGACATGATTTCTAAGCTTTATATTTATATTCCAATGGAGAACATGTTCTAATTTTTCACTGATCAATTTTCATCTCAGTTTTTCAGTTCCTCACTATTTTAATTACCTCACTATTTCGCTCGGCTTCATAACTCCTCAGTTTTGCAGTGCCCCACTACTTCAGTTACCTCACTAATTCAGATCCGCTCGTTAGTAATAGCTTTCTGTTCGTTATTTCATTCACAGCTGTGAGAACAATACTCAAGAAATTCCCTTCATTAAAAATCCTGACATCAGAAGTTCACGAGGACTGTTCTATATTATTTGGACAAAAATATTTTGGGACTGATGTCAATTAGTCATTTTTGGTTGGTTTTATAATATTGTTTGTAAAGACGTTAATTAAAAATGAAGCAGTTGTCTGGGAAGGGGGATAGGGATAACATGTACATTGTCAACCCAATTCACCACCTTCCATACATCAGTTCACTGGTAACACAGAAAGCATTAAAATATTAGACCCTAACAGGTATTTTCATAGGATTTTTTAAATTTGAACCTTGCAGGATTGACTAAATGCATTTTGTTTGACCAGAAGATATAACTAGCTAAAAACTAGTGTGAGGTGCGTCGGTGTTTCTAATAAAACAGTAATGATAAAAAGGTAAATTATACACCGTGAAAAGATGAAAAAACTTACTAAACTTACATTTTGTTTGACCAGTGAACTGAAGTATGGAAAGTGGTAAATTTCTCATCTTATTGCCTATAAACCTCGCAGGCTTCTCCCTAAGGGCTGCTTTGAAGGATAAAAGGATTACAGAAGAAGGGGATGCATACACTGCAGTATTTGTGACATACTGTAACCAAGGAAGCCAATGAAAATTAATTTTGTCCATTAACCCTCGTATCAACCTGTTGATACCCCAACATTAACCTATTGGTGTTATTGTAGTTGTTACTTAGGCTGATAGCTTTGCATCGCCTGAAATTAATCAGCATTAATATTCTATAAAATTTAATCTATTTTTTATTTTATCATATTTATCACTAAAGTTACTGATGGTTTGGAATTAACCTTGCCAAACTAAGAAAAAGATTACAGTTCTCTAATTCCATGATATGCTTCTCTAAGTTGTCATGCACAAAGGTTTCAGTACGAGGCTCTATGCTATATTAAATTAATCCTTTTCTGGCATGTCACGTAGGCTTACATTGGAAACTGTGTTCATGACAGGCAAGGCACATCTTAAGAGTGAGCTTTTACAATGATAATTTTTAATGATGACGACGATAATGATAAACATTGACAGATAATGTTACATTGGAAATGATGGTGGTTGTGATGATAAATGATGGTGAAAGTGGTGGTTGTAAGGACGTGGTGATGATGATGACTAATTGATTGGTGTTGATGGTTCGGTGTTGATGATGATTGTCATGGTGATGCTGGTGTTGATTATCATAATTGATGTTAAAAGATCCTTGATAATAATTAGAAAAACAATGATATAGCATGGTTAAAAACTGTTGGGCCAACCAAGCTCTCCCAGTCACCTCAAAGTTATTTTGAATGCAAGGCTTATTGATGGAAATACAAATGAAATTCCATTGACAAAAAGTATAACTGTTTTCATTTTAACTTTGTAGCCACTATAATTTTGAGAAGGTTCCATTTAATACCTTACACAACCCTTAAAAATAACATTTTTGCTGCAATATGGTAATGTGTAGTTACAGAGGAAATCCCCTAGGAATTTTTTTAAGACCCCCTGCCCCATACCACTAGTGGAAATTCTAATTTTCTCCCATACAAACTCTGTAATTTTGTTCTTTCTCTGACATCCCTCCCTCAGAAATTCCTCTGTGGGGTGGGTATGGTTTCTGGAAATACACAATGACCAATGACTCACACATACTCGTTAAATTTATGATAAAACAATGTCAAAAAAAAGGAAAATAAATTAATTCAAACTATTGAATACAATAGACCTATAATAAGTGAGAGTGGTGTTACAAGCAATTCAATTTATTGGTAAAGGGTTAACTATCGAATCTGTAACCTTGATAGAGTGCAAACAATATATCCACAAAACTTTAGCAATACTAAACAGCACAATTTCATGCAAATTCCATTGTTTTCTATTGTTTAATTAGCACTATTTTGTACTATTTAGTAATTAGTGCTTCATGGATTAATTGTTTGCACTCTAATATCAAAACTGTAAAGTTTTGTAAAGATTGCCCATAAACTAACAAAAATATTAAGTTTTGAAACTGTTTTACATGCCCTGCTAGCCTCAGGTTGGATATACATTTATTTGTAAAACGCCCACTAAAATAAATTTAATGTAAGGTCTCACCATTGAAATTTAAAGTAGTGTTATAATACCATCCTCATCCCCACCCCTATTCAGCCTCTCGGGGGAGGTTGGTGCCATTTAATGAAAGATTTCTTATTAGCATCCATTGTTAAGGGCACCACAATGGCCGCCATGTTTTTGTCTGTTAACTGTCTTGAAAATGCTTGCAACCTATCAGTGTATTATGCTCTAGCCTCCACCTTCCATCAATTATTACCATCCTCATCCCCACCCCTATAACATCATAACATGAAAGTGCTTTAGCCTCCCATCCCCCCCAATTATAACCATCCTCATTCCCACCCCTACCCTGTGATTAAAAAAGAAGCACACAATTCATTCACGAACCAGTTTATTCATGGATGTTTCACATAATGTCTTTTAAAATGCACTTGGATATTATGTGCTAACAACAAAACATACGTTAGAACAAATGGTGATCAAATATTTCCTTCAATAACATGCACAGATTTATATAGAAGAGATAACTAGCTAAAAGCTAGTGTGAGCTAAGTTGATGTTTCTAATGAAACAGTATATGATAAAAAGGTAAATTATACACCGTGAAAAAACTTCCTGACATTTCGGACGCTAGTCCTTCGTCGGAGTAAAAGACTCTGAAAAACTTTTTCACAGTGTATAATTTGCCTTTTTATTATTACTGTTTCATAAATTTATTTATCAAACTTATTAATAATGTATGAGAAAACACAACAGAAATCACAGCCCTGAAGAGTGTTGTAAATCTGATACAAAATTGTGTTCATTTGCATAAACTTTAAGTTGGATTTTCTTGGCCAAATTCACTTTAATTTTGAAAATTTTAGTGAAACACAAAGGAACTAACCTAGACGTTTGATAAGTCATATACAGTATTCGTGTCCATGTTGTATCAGATATACAATCACTCGGCTACGCCTCGTGGTTGTATATCTGATACAACACGACCACTTATACTGTATTTATTACTTATATCTGTATGCCATGCTTCTACCTGCAAGCAAATTTAATGACATTGAGTTACTGACCGAAATAACTTCGGGAAAATGTAAAATCGAATCCGACTGATTTTAAAATATACCTAATATTTAAACCTAATGATTAGTTGAAACGAAAGATAAAAATGCATGCATTGTACTACCATACACTGCTTGCAACATTTCCTGCACTGATAAACCTATCTGGTTCGGACCAATGCAAGAAAAACATGGAATATGTATTGGAGGTGGATGCAACATTGGAACATTGCATTGGAAATGTTATTAGTGCACGATTATAGAAATTGATCAAAAGTAATGAGATTGTGATAAAATGTGAAATTATTTTTACTCTTCCATGGGTGACCCTATTCTAGTTTAAGGAACTGTTCGAGGGTTTCCTCCTCAATGGCTTCTTCAAATCTTTGAAAGTTCTGTGAATTAGATGAAAAGATAAGACAGATTATCAAGGCAGCTGCAGCAATAGAGGGAACTCATTAAACCCGCGAAATAGATATTAGACTAAGGCCTAGGGCAAACTCGAACTTTCCATGCACCGAACTTAATTACATCAAAGAATGCCACCTCATTATCACCTGATATCCATTGTTTTTAATGAGTTCGGTGCATGGAAAGTTCGACGTTTGCCCTAGGCCTAATACACTTTAGTAGACCCTAATTCCATTGTTTTCTTTTGTGTCTTTTTGACTATTACATGTTGACTAGTAGTTTTTATTTCATGGGTTTAATGCCTTCACTCTATGAAATTGAAAATAATCATAACACAAAAATGAACTATCAGCTAGAAGCTGGTTTACATAGTGAAAAATYGAACCATATATCCTCAAGCATCCCTTTCAAATAAGAACCCCCCTCCCCTTAACAGAAAAAGAAATTTATTAAGCCCCCCATGATGGTCATCCGATGCACGATGAGGTAAAATCCATTTGAAAAACAACTTTGCAAAGTTGGCTGTCAGCGCAGTTGGCGTCAGCTACCATGCTCTGTTTACTAATACATCACAGTTCTCAACCAATCAAAGCTTTCATACTATCGTAAACTACATAATAAAATCCATTATTAATGTTTAATAACTATAAATACTCATCATACCCCACAGTATTGGTCGCCGTTAAAAATTTGTGGTGGTAGTGCTTTTTCATCATCCATCAGTTCTCTCATTTTTGTTCGAAGATCTGCATCGCTTGAAATATCCAATATTGTATAGGGTATCTTTTTGCCATCCAATACCTGTTGGATTTTGATCTGTTGCTTCTTTATCTGATTTAAATAAGAGAAGAAAATGTTACAAAGAGATACCCTATTCATATACCCTAGCCTCCATAGACCTGCCCACCCCTTTGGAAATACGCAATATACACTCCTCAGACCCTCCCCACCCCTTGGAAATTCCAATCCCACTCTGTGGGGGAGGTATGAATATTTCATAGAACTACACAATATACCCTCCTCAGACCCTCCCCACCCCTTGGAAATTCCAATCCCCCTCTGTGGGGGAGGTATGGATATTTTCTGGAACTACACGATACACCCTCTGGATCTCCACCCCTTGGAAATTCCAATCCCCCTTTGTGGGGAAGGTATGAATATTTTATAGAACTACACAATATACCCTCCCCACCCCTTGAAAATTTCAATCCCATTTTAAGGAGGGTGATATAAACACATGCATTAAATATTGTATTTACTGTGGTTTTCTATATTCTGTGAACTCGGCAGTTGCGAGCTGCACACTAAAATTAGACTTTTAGCTGCTGTCAATCAAAAATGATCTGTCCATAGCTTTTATATTCTGACAGCAGTTAAAACCCAATTTCACAACAAGCCGTCGAATATTGTCTGAGTTCACAGAATATCTAAAACCACAGTTATACCGTTTTCACGCATATGTTTTTGAAAAAGTCAAAAAAAGATATTTTCGTGTCTTTCTTTGTTACAAAGTCAGAAAGGAACTCGCATCTTTAATAATTTATATTTTTGGATCGCATTCAAAGGATAAAAAAATTGTCAATTATTCAATGCATTTCATTGCCAATTTTCAGCAAACGTTATTTGCATATTGAAGCGCTTGTCTCCCTTTGAGCTTTGAAGTCTTAAAAACAAAACGAGTCTTCTAAATTTTCGCAAATTTTAGCTCGCTGAACGCGATAACTCAAGTTTTCTAGCACCAAAAAATTAGAAAATCTCTTTGGGCTCATTTCTTAATGGCGAATGAGCTACCAAAGCCAAAAAATTCGAACAATTTCATCTAAGTTTTCCTTCCTCGCAAAGTATTGACCTCGTCTGTGGTCAATTTGAAAATGCAAGACCGTACAAGAACCGCTACTAAAATTTCACCACAAATCGACTTACCTCTTGATTGCCCGAAGCGGACGAGAAATAAAGTACTATCTTGCCTGACATGGTGGAAATTTGGAAAAAACGAGTTCCGAGAGGAAGAGAATAGAATTATACAACTTCTCTTTTAACAATAACGCCTACTTTTAATTTATTACTGAATTCTACACGCCCTGGTAGAATTCACCAGGCGTTGCTCGTCGGGCATAATTTTAACCGAGTAGGACTAAAAACGACTAATAATGTTAACCAGGCGTTACTTACTAACAACCGAAAAAGACTGGAACTACTACTTCTACCAATCTCTACTCGGACATGACACCACAGGGAGCCAAAAAACCATATTTTCGTTTACGACAAAATTGTTTTATTTTTTCTTATTTACTTTTTTAGTCATTTTAATTATTTTTGAGACGAAATGTCTAGTTGTCTTAGATGAATGAGTTGAGGATTAAGGATCTGGAGTGATTGCGTGACAAATATTCATAAAAATAACAAACTGCTCAATAGCCAATTGGAAAACAGTAGTAAGATTAGCCTTTGAAGTGTCAGGGTGTAGCCAGTTCTTCTTCTATACATTTTTCTGCAGTAGTATCATTGTCGTCTCTTCTTCCTAAATCACCACAAAATGTCTAAAATCACAGTCTATATTTCCACAGTTTCGAGCAATTTGGAGGTAAGAAGATTATTTTCTCTCTCCAATCTTTTTCCTTGTTCTTGTCCTTTTTTGGTTGCAGTTGAGCTCCGATAATAGTGTAATTTGAAATTTATCTCTACGTCTGTGTTGGCTCACTTCTAACTATCAAAAACTTCAATCCTTTGCCTTAGAAACAGAGTCTAATGTGTCTGGAATTTAAGTAGTATTGCTAAGACTCGATCCTTAGGATCAACACTAAATTCCCTTCCTAAAACAGAACTCCATTGGCAAAACAATGATCGTATTTGTTCGACTTATATAGGATGTTGCTTTTATTCTGCAAAACGTATTATATTTAAAACGGCTTGTCACAAATACGGTTTCAGTTTTTAATGTTATTTTCGAACAATTTCCATTGAAAAGTTTCTTAAATTGCAAATTTTATCAAACTGTGCCATTATGCCTGGCTAATGATGCATTTAATAATTGCCACCACGAATCATCAATTACTAAAAATTTCAAAAATATTGCAACACCGAGGTAGGTAAAAATTATGCATGTAGCTGTTTCATTTTCACTAATTGCTGAAGCAGTTGGACAGTTTTATACAAAATTAGCAAGTGAAAAATATTTTATAAATAAATGATTGTGTTTTGACAGGGTTGACATGAACAATACTCATCTGAACAATAATATTGATTTTTCAGAAATATTAATAATTCATTATTAATTAATTAATAAGCTTACTACTCTTTTCTCCTTWAAAGATTTGCTGGTATTTTGGAATAAAAAATGCTAAAATCTACAAATTTTAAAAAATATTAGAAGCATGTTAATCTCTTTTGGGGTTACGAGAGACTATATCTCAAATATAATGTTACATTATAAGCGTTAGATTGTTCCAGCTTTTTTGATAAGGGTCATTATTGCAAAGCATATTAAATCATAGCTTTGTGATTAATGGCCCATGAACAATTATTGTATAAAAGCTAAGATGAAGACAAGGGGTACTTTTTCCACCATTTTAAACCATCATTTTTCACCACTAGGATAATATTGTCAGTCAATATACAGCTAAAATTTACGAATTCAAGCAGATGGGAAAGATATCACTGATTCTTAAGGCATTTGTATTGAATTTATTTTTATCTACAGTTAAAGAAGCATCAACAAAAGATTGAATGCATACTTGGCAACAACTACAAAGGCTGTGACATTGAATATATCGACATAGCAACTTCTGTAGACCTCAAACAGAAAATGCGAGAAGTAGCTAATGATCCCAAAGCACTTCCACCACAGTTTGCTAAAGGAGACAAGTATCTTGGGGTAGGTTTACTGATTAATATTTTGGCATGTTTACCTGGGTGTAAGGTTTTCTTATTTCATTCTATATGCCATTCCCTAGAGTATCATTTCTTTGCTTTTTTTAGTTGTTCATAATCAACATGTATACAATTTATTCTATGTGTCATTCCCTAGAGTATCATTTTTTTGCTTTTTAAGTTTTGCACAATCAACATGCATACAATTCATTTTATGTGTCATTCCCTAGAGTATCATTTCTTTGCTTTTTTAGTTGTGCATAAGCAATATGTATACAACTCAAACAAAGAATCTTATCTTCAAGAGAATGACACCTATGTGGACTGAAATATAATAGCAAATATACAACCTAAAAGGGTCTTAGTGGAGTTCATATTTGTTGAGCTTATTTTTATGATTGAAAAAACAGATACAACATCTGTTCGTCACATTGAAACCACAATAATACATAATATACCATTGATTGATTAATTTACATTTAATTTATTCTAAGGCCTAGAATCCAAGCTAGACAATAATATTATTTCAATGCCGCATGTTCATCCTACTCAAAAAAGGCTTAAATTAGCAACCTGACTCCTGAAATGTGTCTCACACGAGTTTCAGCCGGAAGCTTCAATATGTAACCATGGCTAAATCTCATAAAATAACTCTTATCAATCTTGCATTCTGATTGGTTGAAATTGCATGCTCTATGTATGAGAGCATGCCAAAAGTGCTATTTCTTTAGAGCCTTTCCTATCTATGTTGGTTATTGTAATTTGTATTTTATGCTTAATGCTGTGCTGTGTGCAGTTCTATAAAGCACTTCTTCTTTTTTGTTCTGCCAATTAATCCTGTGCGCAATTTTTAACTGCACGCAGCACATGTACATGTTTTCTTGTGGAAATTTTATTAATGCTCAGGTCTGTTAGAGCAAACTTGTCTAATAAATCGTTTTTGTATTGTGTAGTTCCAGAAATTATGTATACCCCCTTGTGGAGGAATGTTTTCCACTTCACCCCC